AAAAGGTCAAAAACCGCTTCTTAAAAAATAAATTTTCTTTGAACATATTTTGATAATTTTTTTAAAAGTACTTTTTATGGCTAAAAGAGCTTTTCTCCTAATAAAGTTTCTTCGGAAATCTTTTATACAAAAAACAAAAGTAGAAGTCTTACCAAATGAACCTCACATACATAAGGTACAAAATCCAGGACACATTAAAGGAGGACTAAGAGCTTACAAATTGCATAATCACTTCCCTATTTCAACCTTTTTTACAAAGGCAAAAAAAGCGGGGATGCATTGGAAGAAAAGTCTAAAATGAAAATGACTCAACAATTAACTCTATAAGATAATTTGATGCGTCTTTGTCTTCGTCTTCTCAAGAGCTACTGCTCTCTATATGATGCTGAATCTGAACTAATCATGCCCTAAATCCACATCACCCCAAATCTCAAATTTTATGGGTGGAGATTTACATTAATCAAAATTATGCTGCACCATGAATAACTAAAATCTACAACTAAATTTGATGAACTAAAAAACTGAAACATTAAAGCTTATTCTCTGAATTGAACTATATATATGTTACAAAATCCTCTCTGAGAGGATTATGAACCTACCTCCTAACTCAGAGTGCGCTGTGGGCTTGAACGATTAATCAACCTTCATGAACAGCCTTGCAATGTCGTACTGCAAGAGACATACCTAACACCGGTGTGCTGTTTCAACTTGGCAACAGCTTCTTGTGCCTTCCCGAGCTTAAGATCCAGATAAATTGCAGTAAGAATAGCCTGTTTACAATTAGGTATTATGGATAACGCTTTTACCACAAATAGGTGGGCCCTTTCGATGTCTCCCAGCAATGCATAGTTGGCAGCATAGTTTGCATAAAGAATTCCCTGAGCTTCCATAGGTGTGGAGAAAAATGGTAATTGTGATTCATCCAGTGATGAGGGACCATTTGTCTCGTCGTAATCTATCACCTTTTCTACTCTCCACTTTTCGCAATCCTCTTGGCTGTATGGAAGCTCCACAGAGTCATTATCAGACAAATACACGATCAAATGCTCAGCAGCTTCCTTAGGCTGGTTAAGTAGACATAAAGCCTCGGCTACATACATTCTTCCAAGAAAGGTGTATATTCTTGAGCACTGGGGCAGTTTTAATAGAGAACTCGCTATCGTTAAGACCTTCAGGGGATTTCCCAAAGCCAGCTCCACATATGCCATATCAGCTAATACTGCTTGCTTTATCATATGGTTCTCCTTTGCACAAATATCTTCATTGTCAGAAGAAAATTCCTGTAACAGTGTATTCTGACTGCTTCCACCTTTTTGCTCTTTCATTTCACCATTTCCCTCAACCTCACTAGATCCAGATGCTACATCAGATGTCTTGAGGTCACCACTAGCTATGTTCTTGTGGTTTGTGCTAGGAGAAAATGGTGTTTCTCTTGAGACACTCTCCTCAAAACTTGGGGACAAACTAGGGCTAGTAAAATTTGCCTTGGAAGATTCCAGTAAATGCAACGCATTGACAAGACACTGTCGGGCAAGAGACATTGAGAGATCAAGCTGTTTGCCGTCAACAGAAAACAAATCTTCCTTTAAAACAAGTTCCTGCTCATCATTTGTCGAGATTCCATTTTTCACTGCAAGTTGTCTCCATTTTCCCTTTCCAATAACATTAACCATGATGTCAGATCTGTCAGATGAAGAGGGATTGGATTGGATTAGGCCCTTCTCTAGTGCCATTATACAACACTCTGCAATTCTTAGCCATAAAACAGGTCTATTGTTAAGAATTAGACTGGCCCGCTTGAAACATCGAGCAGCTTGGAAAGGTTTCCCACAAGTCAACTGTTGCACGCCACAATTATAAGTAATAAAAAGGGATTTATCCAGAGAAAAAGTCATGAGATTCAGAGGTTTTTCCTTCCGTATGAGTGAGCTGCTATTTAGGGCTTTGGAAAAGAATACACCTGAAGTGTGATGCTTCCCAAGTTGGTAATATATGCAACCGATATTGTTGTAGTACATGCTAGAAATTCCAGTTTCCGTGCGGCTACTAGATGCCATCAAAAGCTTGATTGCTTTGCTGTGGTTCCCTCGAGCAAATTCGAGCTGTGACTTCAAATAGAGAGCCGTGGTATAATCTTTGCCACGAGCTATGTTCATAGCCATCTTAACTTCGCGCTTGGCTGCCTTGAGGTTCCTCATGAGCAGCGAAAATCGAACCTTGTAAAAATGCAGTTTAAGCCTCAGATCAATGGCTGATAGGGGCTCCTCAGTTTGTGTCCTGAGAAGATCATCAGAAAATGGGAGGCCAGGCCTTCGAAGGTTCTGTCCACTGATATCGAAAGAAGATAATAACTGCAGCGATTCTTCTTCAAGTGCTTCGTCTGATCCAGTTCTAGATAAAGAATTTTCTAAGATATTTGCAGAAGCAACAGAAGTAGAAGAATCAGGTATTGTCAAATTGCTGGGAAGTGAAACCGATTTTGATACTAGTGTTGGTTGCTGCTGTGTTGGGATTCCATTGTCTGCTTGATTCATCAAGCTATTGATGCCAAAAGCCTTCTCCATGTAGCTTATCACATCCTGGACATTATAAATTTAAATTCACTAGTGTCTAAGCAACACAAGAATAAAACAATATATAAATAAAGAAGCAAAATCTATAACTGGACATAAATAGTACCATAACACACTTGCATAACTTAACAGCAGGAAAAAACCATGAAACAAGAATTAGAAATGCAACGGTTTAGCTTAGGTTAATAAAAAGTCCTCTTAATTTATATCAAACTAATCTAAACCAGAAATGTCCATTAGAGATAACAGCTGAGAACTCATATGCCAGATGAAAAACTTAAAAGAGCGCATAATAATTTGAACTCTAAAGAAACTAATGCGAACAGTGTAAGACTAACCACTTCTATATTTAACATCCGCTGAAAATGGAGATCCACTGAACCTAAAAATAATAGCTAGCCTAGCTTGCCATGTAAAAGCCTTAGCCAAGGAGTGCAAATAATTGTCTCAGATCTTATGTTATTACCCAAAAGGTAAATTAGTTCTGTCTCTAGTTAAAAATATCATATGAAACAAAATCCAAAAGCAGCAAAAACCTTCTAACTTGCATAGTTGTATACAGGCATTGCATCATTACAAAGAAATCCTCCATCCTCTAGAGAATAGACAAGAACGAGGGAAGATGGGGCTAGGGGAGAAGATTTTAAAGCAACAATTAGACGACTGTTGTCCCCCAAGTCACCACTAGTACTTTTGGACACCATTCCAAACTGACCGTGTTTATTATGCTAGTGGGGTCAGTGGACAATACCAGACTTTCAAAAAGAACAATTTAATTCGTAATATAATTGCACCGTTTGAGTTGTAACAAGTGTCGACCCTACTCAAGTGTTTGAAGGAATGTTTCAGTCAGCTGCAAATATACAAATATGATTAGGAATTTTTCTGGACGAAATAAAGTATAACAGATAATAAATAGTACAAGTCACAGAACATAAATCCTTGGAGAACTATTTGGCTCTGTTTCAAAAGACACTAAGGAAGTCATTAACATTTGAATCAATCAAAATAAAAACTTTCAATTCTTTGCAAGTCGGAGAAGGCTATTCAGTCACGTAAAAAATAACTGAGGTCGATAATATTGAATAATCAAGCATGTTTCTCCAGTAATATATATCAAGTAACAGATATTTGAAAAAGCTCATTTCTTGTAATCTTTAAGTCCTATAAACTGAATAAGCAAAATACTCTCTAAGGTATTAGGGAAGATTGAAGGTTACCAAACATTATAAACCCATAGATGTTAAAAGTACATTGCGCTGCAGCACAAAGTGCCGTGAAGTATTGCACAGGGACTAGCATAGAGTCAAGATCGAAATTGGTGAAGTGGAAGAAAAGCATATAAAGGCATAAAGCACCACAAAGTAATGCGAAATCAATTTTTTCTGAAATCACTGATGAAATTTAATTGATGTTCACAGAAATATATTGGTAACTATTTAACCTATACCAAAAATAGGGGCTATATAACATTTTAAGAATATTTAACGATATAATAAATTCTATCATTTGAAAGTTTAATAATATCAAATTAATAACAAGACTGATAGAACAAAAGAATTCATCAGTTGAAAGTACTGTAGAAACTAGAAATGTTGCAAAAAGTGTTGGAAGACATAAAATACAATGAAAAGTGTTAAAGCAATGTCTTAAGGCTAAGCTTGACAAATTACTAAGTGTAACAGCACAATGATTAGACTGCAAGATACCAAAGGACAACCCTTTCCTCAATTATATAAGAGAGAATACATCAATACATTGATTAGCCTAAATACAATGCAGTTGCTACACAACCTAATCAGAGGTCACACCTATATTTAACCATATCACAGCCTCCAGTCTGTTGCACCACCCATTTTGAAGCATCCAGCTTCCACATTTAAAGAAATCCGGCAACTGCTTATAAACAGGTTTAAATTATAATTAGATAGAACTCATTGGGTAGTACTTGGGGGTCCTCAAATTTTGAAGATAAAAAGTGGATTGAGTGTATAAATAGTTTATAAACATGAGCTTAACATAGGCTTACACTCAATAATTTCCCATTCAAAAATTCAGTGAATCATTAGGACTTGAGTCAACTGCTCTAAACAGCATATTAAAACACAACCGCATCTGCCATTCCACCAGTGGCGCTACTCAACAGCAATTCTTCATACCCATTAAACTATATTAATACTGAAGACTTAGGCACATGCCACATCACATTAGCAATCTACCATCCAATACAAGACAAAGGACATAGTCAATGAAGCACATAAACTCCTAGTAGGACATGATGTCCGTGCCTGACACGTGACGTACGGTAATCGACACTTCTCGAACACTTCAAGACAGTCATGTATCCAACACGCGATGTGTTGTAATACTTTTGATTATTTCTTAATTTCCAGCACTATAAGGGATGCTTTAGGGACACTTCTCGAGCACATAACCAACATTCCAGTGTCCTGTATTTTTACTATTCTCTCTAG